CAGGCAGGCCCCCACCGCTCATCAAGACAATTTTAAATAAGCTTGTTCTTTGAGAATTCACTGGCATCTGGCCCCAAAACACTGCAGGTTCCATCCCTGGTCTGGGCACATACCTAGGTTGTAGGTTTAAGCCCAGGTCTGGGCTCTTAAGATCCCCAGTCCAGGCATATGTGGGACACAACCAGTGGGTGCTTCTCTCTTGTACCAATGTTTCTCTCTCTCCCTTCCTCTCCAAAAGCAATTTTTTTAAAAAATCCTTGGGTGAAGGGGAATAAAAATGAACGAAGAACCTGTGTTTCCACCCACAACAGAGGCCCTGGGCTGTCTATGTGTAGAGTTTCCCATCCAGAAGTCAGACATGGTCCTTGGTAATAGTTTTTTGTACAGGTTGGGTCCAAATTAGAATTGATCTTTATTTTTTACTTTACATAGCTTAGTTACATGCAAAATAATAATTTATGTTAACAGGGGAGATTGTCGTCAGATTTCAATACTTTCCAGTGTTTCAAACATTTCCTGTAGACCTTAAAAATTAGTTACATAATATGATCCCTTTTTTAGCTAGTCTTAAATCATTGCCATGTCCTGCTAGGGTCATTGTGTTCGTCTGCATTATTTTTGCAATATATATCAGTGATGGTAGAACAAAACAAAACAATGCCCCCAAAAGAAAACCTTCGTGTTTCTTTTTTTTTTAAAGACTTTATTTATTCACTTCTAGAGAGAAGGGAAGGGAGGGAGGGAGAGAGAAACATAATGTGTGGTTGCCTCTAGTGTGTCCCCCACTAGGTACCCAGCCTGCAACCCAGGCATGTGCCCTGACTGGGAATTGAACCAGCAACCTCCTGGTTAGCAGGCCAGCACTCAATCCACTGAGCCACACCAGCCAGGGTAAAACAAACTTGTGTTTCAAAGGGCACTATCAAGAAACTGAAAAGACAGCCCACAAAATGGAAGATAATTTTGGCAAGTAATGTATATAAGGGACTTGCATCTAGGATATAGAAAGACTATATTAGAATTCAATAATAAAAAGACAACCCAATTAAAAAATGGGTGAAGGATCTCTGTAGATACTTCCCACAAGAAGATATACGAATGACTGATAAGCACATGAAAAGGTATTCAATATCACTAGCTATTAGGGGACTGCAAATCACAACCACAGTGAGATATTACTTTATACTCACTAAGTTGTCTGTAATTGAAAGTACAGACATTGAAAAGAGTTGGCAAGGCGCCCAGGCCAAGTAGCTCAGTTGGTCAGAGTGTCATCCTGATACACCAAGGTTGAAGATTTGATCCCCAGTAAGAGCACATATTACAAGAAGCAACCAATGATTGCATAAATAAGTGGAACAAAAAACTGATGCTTCTTTATTCCTTTCTCTAAAATCAATAATAAAAAATTTAATTAAAGTTTTGGCAAGGATTTGGAGAAATTGGAATTCTATACCGTGCTAATGGGAATGTAAAATAGTACTGCCACTTTAGAAATTAGTCTGACAATTCCTTAAAAGGTTATACCATGTGACCCAGCAATTCCAATCGTAAGTATATACCCAAGAGAAATGAAAACATATGTCCACACAGAAACTTGTACTTGAATGTTCATAACAGTATTATTCATAATGTAGAAACAATCCAAATGCCAGGCATCTGATGACTGCATGAATAAAATGTGGTGTACCCATACAATGGAACACCACTTGACAATAAAAAGAAATGAGAACTGATACAGGCTATAACATAGATGAACCTTGAAAATATACTCAGTAAAATAAGCCCGTCACAAAAGACCACTCATTGCATGATGTCATTCATATGAAATGTCTAGAGTAGACAAATCCATAAAGAGAAAAGTGGTTAGTGGTTGCCTAAGGCCGGGAGTTTGGGGGAACTTGGAGAGTGACTGCTGTGGGTATGATATGAAAGAATTCCAAAATTTCATAATTTTGGTGGTTGCATAATTGTAAATATACTGAAAAAACTACCAAATTGTACACTTTAAATGGTGAATTGTGTAGTATGTGAGTTACATCTCAATAAAACTGTTTTTTTAAAACTTCAGTGGTTTAAAAAAAATGGGCAAAGGACATGAACAGACATGTCACTGAAGAGGGTATGCAGATGACAAAAAAGCATGTGAAAAGACGTTCAATGTTGTCAGCTACTAGGGAAATGCAAAGTGAAACCTCGATAAGATATACAGTAGAATCTTATTTTGTTTCTGGACAGCTGTTCCAGAAGTGATTTGTTTAAAAACCAAATAATAACTCATTCATTCCCTGCTTTGTCACCTGAGAGATGTGTGACTAATCATACAGGTATCAGCATGAAAATGTCAGGTCAAGAACCAGTTTTGTTCAACAACCGTAACATTATTTCTGTGAACAACTTGGTCAAGAACCAAATAGTTTGAGATAGGAGACATTTGAGAACTGATAACTGACTATAACTATATACCTATCAGAATTCCTAAAATGAAAATTAATGATAACACCATTTGCTGGCAAGGATGTAGAGAAACTGAATCATTCATACATTAATGATGAAATATAAATGGTACAGTTATTCTGGTGAAAACTATGAAGTTTCTTACAAAACATGCATTTACCATATGACTCAGCATGGCACTCCCAGAGATATAAAAACATAATCGTACAAAAACCGTTACTTGAGAGTTCATACCAGGTTTGTTTGACATAGCAAAGAACTAACTAGAAACAACCCAATTGTCCTTTACCAGATGAATGGTAAAATAAACTATAGTACATTCATACCATGGAATACTACTCAGCAATAAAAAGGAGCAAACTATTAATACATACAACAACTTGGGTAGATCTCAAGGGAATCAAGCTGAGTGGGAAAAAAAGACAGTATTATATGACATTGTTATGGATTGAATGTTTGTATCCCCCAGAATTCACATATTTAAATCTAACCCCCAATGTGATAGCATTTGGAGGTGGGGCCTTTAGGAGGTGATTGATTAGACCCTGTGGTACAGCCCTGATAAACTAGATTAGTGCCTTTACAGGAAGAGGCCAGAGAGCTAGTCTGCTGTCTCTCCACCTTGGGAAGACACAAGCTGACCGTCTGTAAACCAGGAGGAGCACCTTCACCAAACCCAACCAGGCTGGCACCTGACCTTAGACTTCCAGCCTTGATAACCATGAGGACTGGTCGTTTACATCCCAGTCTGTGGTATTCTGTTACTGCAGCCCAGACTAAGATAGGTTCCATTTATATAACATTTTCTTTCATGACAAAATTATTAGAGATGGAGAAAAGACTAATGGTTGCCATGGGCTGGGATTGGAGGAGAGATGACTGGCTATGAAAGGGACACTTGACATCCTGGCTGATACAGTTTGGTGGATTGAGTGCCAGCCTGCGAACCATTTGGGGCACATGCCTGGGTTGCAGGCCAGGTCCCTGGATGGACACATGTGAGAGGCAACCGAACATTGACGTCTCTCTCACACCTTGTGTTTTTCCTTCTCTCCTCCCTCCCTTCTCCTCTCTCTGAAAATAAAAATAAATGAAATTTTTTTAAATGATTTTTTTAAAGGGGAACTTGAGGGATCCTTTTTGGAAGGATCCTTCTTATAGAAGTTTTGTATCTTTTTAAAAAACATTTTATTTATTTATTTATTTTTTAGAGAGAGGAAGGGAAGGAGAAAGAGTGAGAGAGAAACATCAATGTGTGGTTGCCTCTCATGTGCCCCCTACTGGGGTCCTGGCCTGCATCCTAGGCATGTGCCCTGCCTGGGGATCAAACTGGTGACCCTTTGCTTCACAGGCCCGTGCTCAATCCACTGAGCTACACCAGCCAGGGCTGTATCTTTTTTTTTAATTGTTGTTCAAGTACAGTTTTCTGTCTTTTACTCCCATCCCAGCCCACCCCCCCCAGAAGTTTTGTATCTTGACTGTGATGGTGGTATATGAATGAAGCTCACATGTGATAAAACTGCATAGAATTAAACACACACAAATGAGTGCATATAAAATTGGTAACATATTACCATTGGAAAACTAGGTGAAGAGTATATATAATATTTCTAAATTATTTCTTTTTAAAAAAGATTTTATTCATTTATTTTTAGAGAGGGGAAGAGAGGGAGAAAAAGAGGGAGAGAAACATCTCTCGTGTGCCCCCTACTGGGGACCTGGCCCGCAACACCAGGCATGAGCCATGACCGGGAATCGAACTGGCGACCCTTTGGTTTGTAGGTTAGCACTCAATCCACTGAGCCACACCAGCCAGGGCTAGATTATTTCTTATAATTACATGGGGATCTGTAATTACCTCATAATAAAAAAATTAAAACAACATAAAACAAACAGTAGGCTGCATTTGGCTGATGGACCATTCAGACAACAGCAAGGACGGAGTATGGTGCATGGAAAAGCGTGGTAGGAGAGGAGGTGGGGCAGGCAGCCCAGAGCCAGGTCATATACGGCCTAGCAGTCCATGATGAGATGTTTACATTGTGTTCTAACTATGAGGGAAGGCCGCTAGAAAGGTTTTGACCTGGAAAGAAATAAGAGCAGATTTATGTTTTTAGAAAATCCCTGTCCTTGTGGATTAAAGAAATACTCTATGGGGATAAATGTAGAAGCAGAGAGATTAGTTACTGGCTATTATATTTTTAGAGGTAATAGTGACTTGGGCAAATATGGTAGAACAGAGGTAGTAGAAGCAGTCAGATTCCGCAGCACTTGCTAATGAATTAGGCATGGAGTTTGAAGGCAATACAGAAATTAACACTAGTTCTCAGTTTTTGGCCTATGCAAATGAGGAGGAAAAACAAGTTAGCAGATGAGTGGACCAGAAGCCTAGGGTGCTTGTGGGTTTGAAATTCCCATTAATCCCCACACGGAGACATCCAAGTCCGCAGCTTAGAGAGCAGGGCCAAATTGGAGACTGAGCTGGTATTTAAAGCCATGGGCCGCAAGTTGAGCTGGGGCATCTCTAGACAGCTCCTCAGAAAATTAAATGTCGTCAGAAGACCAGGAAGCTCAGGAGGATGAATTGCTGGCCCTGGTGAGTATTTATGATGGAGACGAATTTAGAAAAGCAGAGTCTGTCCAAGGTGGAGAAACCAGGATCTATTTGGACTTGCCACCAAATTTCAAGATATTTGTGAATGCTGTCTGCTCTCTGCAAGCACTTAGACAACCTGTGGGAAGAACATCATGGCAGCATGGTCCTGTTTGCCTGGATGCAGTTTCTTAAGGATGAGACCCTAGGTTACCTAAATATTGTCTCTCCATTTGAGCTGAAGATTGGTTCTCAGAAAAAAGTGCAGAGAAGGATGGCTCAAGCCTCTACCAGCACAGCACTAGATTTTGGAGGAGCTGCCGGCTGTGATGTAGACCAAGATGAAGCCGTGGATGAGAGAGCTGTGCAGGATGTAGAATCATTGTCAAGTCTGATCCAGGAAATCTTGGACTTTGATCAAGCTGAGCAGATAAAATGCTTTAATAGTAAGTTGTTCCTGTGCAATATCTGTTTCTGTGAGAAGCTGGGGAGTGAATGCATGTACTTCTTAGACTGCAGGCACGTGTACTGCAAAGCCTGTCTGAAGGACTGCTTTGAAATTCAGATCAAAGATGGCCAAGTTCAGTGCCTCAACTGCCCCGAACCCAAGTGTACTTCGGTGGCCACTCCTGGTCAGGTCAAAGAGCTAGTGGCAGCAGAGCTATTCGCCCGTTATGATCGGCTTCTTCTCCAGTCCACCCTGGACCTGATGGTGGACGTGGTGTACTGCCCTCGCCCATGCTGCCAGTTACCGGTGATGCAGGAGCCTGGCTGCACCATGGGCATCTGCTCCAGCTGCAATTTTGCCTTTTGTACATTGTGCAGATTGACCTACCATGGCGTCTGTCCGTGTAAGCTCACTGCAGAGAAATTAATAGACTTACAGAATGGGTACCTGCAAGCAGATGAGGCCACTAAGAGGTTCGTGGAGCAGAGGCATGGGAAGAGAGTGATTCAGAAGGCGCTGGAGGAGGTGGAGAGTAAGGAGTGGCTTGAAAAGAACGCGAAGAGCTGCCCGTGTTGTGGAACTCCCATAGAGAAATTAGATGGATGTGACAAATGACATGTACTGGCTGTATGCAGTATTTCTGCTGGATTTGCATGGGTTCTCTCTCTAGAGCAAACCCTTATAAACATTTCACTGATCCTGCTTCCCCATGTTTTAACCGGTTGTTCCATGCTGTGGATGTCAATGGAGACATTTTGGGAGATGAGATTGAAGACTAGTTCATTCCTACTGCTCAAGATGTGGAAGTGAAGTGGTTTGCCCAAATCTTTTGTTTAGGATACAAAGCACCCTTGCAGAATAGGATATTTAGGGTTACCTAAATGCATTCACTCTTACAATGTAGAAGATAAGGAAGAACGAGGGTTATATTTTCATGTGGTACTACTGACTAAGGCATGTTCCTGTATTGAAAACTGTAACATAATTGAGAAGAGTATAAGCCAAAGGTTCAGCAAATGAAAACTAGAGAATATTAAATATTACTATGTTCCCAAAGCTCTGAATAGTTAAAAATTTAAATATTTATTTGCCCCCCAAGCTTTAAGTAAGGAGAATGGTCCAGAGTTCAACTTGCAGACCTTTTTATCTCTCCGAGAAGCATCCCGCTAAGCTGTTATGTGGGAGTCCCCTCAGTCCTACCCCTTATAGTTGGGGTGGGTAGAAGCCTTATTAAATTGCACCAAGAGCCTGATCTCACTCTCTCCACGTTACATTGCTCCCAGCCTCTATTTCTGCCAACTCCTCTTTGGAGGGAGCCCTTTTACTCCGTAACTGACTGGATGGCCTAGTGTCCATTTGGCCTACTGCTTTTCAGAATAGAAATTCACAATTTAAAAAATATTTTTAATACCACAAACACTGTGGGTCACCTGATACTTGTTACCAATGTCTAGTCCACTGGTTTGGAGCAGAGTCTATTACTTAATGACACTTTCTTAGAAGAATTTCAGCCCTGTTCAGCCTTTCTGGGCAGTAGAGCCTAGATTCAAATGACTTGTCTTTGCTGCCTTTCTTTCTACCTTCTGTCCCTTTCCCCTCACCCAGCCTTCTGTTGGTAAGGACAGTTTCACTCTTAACCCCAGCAGCTCCTATTTTTATTTCCTCTTCTGCAATAGGAGAAAGCCTAATATATTCCCAAGCTAAGCAAGCTGAGCTTTCTTTAATTATCAGCTTTGTGAACTCCACACCACTGTAGTTCAGCCCTAACTTTTAAAATTATTTTTAAAGGTTTCCTCTAATGAGCTTTGGGAATTTGGTTTCCCACCCTTTTTGCAACGCGCTGTCGGGATAACTTCGGCCTGCCTAGACCTCTACTTCTGGGTTTTGTTGGCTTTTTGAAAAATTGCCTTTCCTTTTGGTTTGGTGAGTGGTTTGGTAGCAAAATAAGATTTTTTGAAAAAGGACAGAATTCAGCTGCAGCTGTGAACATGTTCTTTTTTCCTACTTTGTCATTGAAAATCGAGTGACATTGAAAATGTCACTTTAACCATTTTATGTGTGTGTGTCCAAAGAGTCACAATGACTGTTTCTGATCGTCAATGAGGATGTTTCATCTTAAAAATGAAAATAATTTAAAATCGTCTTAAAAAAAAATAAAGCCATGGGCCTGGAGAAGAGCCCAGAAAGTGAGTATGTGCTGAAGAGCTTTAAGGACTGATCCTTGGGGACACTACGTGTTTAGGCAGTGAGATAAACAGATTGGTGTATCAAAATCAAGGGAAGAGATGTAGTTGTACGGAGGGGGTGATCAGTTTTATCATATGTTTTTGAGTGTTTGATTTAAAAAGGAATGGAGAATTAATCATTGGCTTTGGAAAGATAAAGTTTGTTGATGATCTTCACAGGACTAGTTCAAACAGACCAGGTGGTACGAAAGCAGAACTGGAGAAAGTTGGGTTTAAGGAACTGGAAGAAATTTACTCCATTTTTTTTTTGTTTCAAATTATATGAGAAAGTTTACTTAGAAAGTTACAGAGGTAGTAAAAGTGAGCTGTAGAAGAAACGGGCTAAGGAGCCCCGGCTGCTGGGGCTCAGTGGATTGAGCACCAGCCTGTGAACTGAAAGGTCACTGATTTGATTCCCAGTCAGGGCACATGCCTGGGATGCGGGCCAGGTCCCCGGCTGGGGGTGTGCGAGAAGCAGCCAACTGATGTTTTTCTCACATTGATGTTTCCCTCCTCCTCTTCCCCTCACTCTGAAAATAAATAAGTAAAATCTTTTTTTAAAAGAACGGAAAGAAAGAAATGGGCTAAGGAAACAAGTTACAGAGGCAAAAAACATTTTTTTAAAAAGGCCCCTAGGGTTTAGGAGAGAGAAAAGGAAGTGTAAAGCAAACCTGGGGGGGGCCAGAGGGAGGATGAAGGGCACAGGGTTCTCCTGAGAGGGAGAGCTCGCTCGCTGAGGAATTTTTCTTTATAGGAAGCACAGCTGTGGGGTGCTCACCTTTAGGAGGACTTAAGATCAGGAGAAGAATTCTTTCTTCCATTTTGTTGAAGGAATATATATGCATTGAAGATTTTTTATGGTGAAAAATTTACATGTATAACTGTCCAGGTGGACTCAGTTCAGGCGATCCCAGTTGTACTGGCAACGTAGTCAGGAGCTGTAGACCACACGGCTCTTCTCCTCATCGGGCCTGATCAGGGTGTTGACATTGGCCACATCGGTGTCACAGAGCGGTTCACAGCCTGTCTGATGTGGTGATTGTTGGTCTAGACCCCTACAAGGAACACAGGTGCGTTGTCATCTGTCTCCTTCCTGGCTGGCGCAGAAGTCGGGGAGCTTGGTGATGGCATGGTGGTCAAACTTGTTTCTCCGGGGGGCGCCCCTCTGAGGCTATTTCGGCTGCCTTTGGAGCCGCAGTGTGTGGACACCTGTCAGTACTGCTTTCTTGACCTTCTAAGCCTTTGCTTTGGCTTCAAATCTGGGAAAAGCAACAGGCTTCCTTTGTTTTCAGCACCATTTTCGTGAAAAAGGCAAGAATGTTTAAAATGAACTCCTTGTTACCTACCATTCCACTTAAAAAATAGAATCTTTTGGATGTAAGATTCTCCTCTAGAATATTTTTTATTCATTCTTTTCACTTTAAAAAAAAGATTTTATTTGTTTATTTTTAGAGAGAAGGAGAGGGAGAAAGAGAGGGAGAGAAACATAAAAGTGTGGCTGCCTCTCGAGCACCCTCTGCCGGGGACCTGGCCCGCTATGACCAGGCAGCCCATGGTTTGCAGGCGGGCACTCAGTCCACTGAGCCACACCAGCCACGGCAGATTCTCACCTAGAATCTTAGCATGCCAGACCCATCCCGTTCTCCGCATTTTCTCTTTATCTAAGGGAAGGTCTTGTTAAGACATGATGGTATGGATCTGGCAGAAAGAAAAACTTTAATGGTATAAAGAAAATACTTTTAAGACAAAATTCTCTTTCTATTTTTTTATTTTAAATATACAGTAGGGATGTTTATTTTAACACTTCTAAAAGATATTTCCCTATGCCTGATGACTTGGTATAAAAATCAAACCCATCATACTTTCCCTATCAGTCTCTACATCAAGGGCAATTAGACCTTTATACAAAATGAATATTTGCTCTGAAACAAAAATTATTTTGTTTTTCCCAAGCTGCTTTTCCATACGAATGGCTGGTTTTGACTCCTAAATCATATCAAACAAGCAATGGCTGGCTTCAGTAAGCTCTAGGGGCAGGCAGTTTAGAGTCGCAGGTTGACTTCACCTGGGAATCTCCAACCCCAGCACAAGTAGCAGCCATCTCAGATTGCTTTAAAGCTCAGGCAGGGTGCCCCGGGCAAAACTCAGATGGGGGCGGACCTTGGCCTGCACCACCTGGGAAACCCCAGGACCAACATACCCACTGGACAGCTACAGACCATGTCAGAGCACCCTGGCCCTGCACAGCTGATCCTCCATGGATGGCGGAGGTTGGTGGTAAGTGGTCACAGCCAATCCTCGCAGCTGACTGCCCTGGGTAAATCCCTCCCATTGATCTGCCAACAGCAACCAAGACTCAACTACAAGAGGAGGGTGTACTCAGCCTACATGAAGGGCGAACCTGAGTGCCCAGCTTGGGTGATAGGGGAGGCTGTGCCACTGGACCCTAAAGAACACCTACTACATTAGGCCATTGCTGTCATCAAGACGCGGAATAAAAGCTGGTCTACCTAACTGATAGAAACAAACACAGGGAGGCTGCCAAAATGAGGGGACAAAGAAACATGGCCCAAATGAAAGACCAGGTCAACACTCTAGAAAAAGAGGTAAACGAAATGGAGATAAGCAATCCGTGATGCAGAGTTCAAGACATTGGTTATAAGGATGTTCAAGGAACTTAGTGAGGACCTCAAGAGCATTACAAAACCCAGCCAGAAAAGCAAAGGATACACTAATTGAAATAAAGAACTATTTACAGGGAAACAACAGTAGAGTGGATGAAACTGAGAATCAAATCAATGATTTGGAACATAAGCAAAAAACAATCATGCTGAATTACAAGAAGAAAAAAGAATACAAAAATATGAGGACAATGTAAGCAGCCTGTGGGACAACTTTAAAAGGTCCAACATTCTCATCATAGGGGTGCCAGAAGGAGAGGAGAAAGAGCAAGAAATTGGAAATCTGTTTGAAAATAATGAAAGAAAACTTTCTTAATTTGTTGAAAGAAATAGACATGCAAATCCAGGAAGCACAGGTAATCCCAATTATGATGGACACCAAGAGCCCACTCCAAGACACATTATTACTAAAAGGCCAAAGGTTGATGACAGAAAGAGACTCTTAAAAACAAGATAAAAGAAGTAAGTTACCGGAAGGTTGCCAGATGGGAGCGGGAAGGCAGAGAATGAGTGAAGAGGTGAGGGGATTAAGGAGTACAAATAGGTAGTTACAGAATAGCCCTGGGGATGTAAAGTACAGTGTAGGAGATGGAGTAGCCAAAGGACTTAATGCCTGACTCACGGACAAGAGCAGTGGTGGGGGAATTTCCTGAGGGAGTGCTGGGTGGAAGGGAGCAAAGGGAAAAATCAGGACAACTGTAATAGCACAATCAATAAAATATAATTCAAAAAATAAAACCTTAAGGAATAAATAAATAAATAATTTTATTGAGATCAGTTAGCACATTTGTTGATTTTTCTCCAGCTAATTAGTGCAAGTCGAGTAAGTAGAGTTAGGTCTAACCAAGTGGTGGATTTTACCAAGGAAGGCAACAAGTGGGAAAGAAGGGCCACAGAGTTGCAGGTTTTTGCAAATGAGTGCTGAGAGTGAT